CCTATGTATATACACGTATTTATGCATATTTCTTTATTTAACCATTTGTAAATATAGTAAACTAAACATGAGTTCATACTGATGTCTCTGATTTTAATCTGTTTGCACATTGACCATTGACCATTATAGCCTCTTCCCTTTTCTTATCACTCCACTCCAACTTGAGAAACTGGCTCCCACCATTCTTTTATTTAGTTATTGTGTTCCAGGATACATGTACAGTGATATCAGAATGGTTAACCTGTACTCACACTTCTTCCTGTAGAAAATAACTTCATCAACTAGAACAGTGCTTATTTACTTTTTTTTTTTTTTTTTGCCTTTAGTCTGACAGACTTACCTCATTTCGAAGTTTACTTTTCTTCAACCCCTTCAATAAGGTTGTTTTCATGTGCTTTAATCTAGTTAAAATGTTCGTTCACATTCAGCATTGCATCCTGAGAGTCTCCTGCTTCCTCAGTAATAGTGTGGTTTTTCGTGTGCAAACATGAAAATTCACTCTCTGTGCTGTGAAGTTCTTTGGGTTTTGACAAATGCTTTGTGTCACGTATTCACTGTCATTTTGGTATCATACAGAATAGTTTTATCACCCTAAACTCTAGTCATTCAACCTTCCCTCCACCCCTTAACCTGTGTTAACTACTGATTTTTCTTTTTTAACCATCTCTCTAGTGTTAGTATTTTCAGTATGTCATAAAGTTGAAAAGCATACATTATAGCCTTTCCAGAGTGGCTTCTTTCACTTAGAAATGTGCATTTAAGGTTTATTCCTAGTTTTTGTGGATTTTTAGCTCATTTCTTTCTACTGCTGAATCATTTTCTGTTGTATGCATGTAACCCAGTTTGCTTATCTTTTCATCTATCGAAGGGCATCTTGGTTGCTGTGAATAAAGCTGCTATAAACATTTATGTGCAAGTTTTTATGTAGGCATAAGTTTTCAGATCCATTGGGTAAAAACCTAGGAATACAACTGCTGGATTGCACAATAAGGCTATGTTTAGCTTTGCAAGAAATCGCCAAACTGTCTTTCTAAGTGGCTATATACTATGTTGCGTTCCAGGCAGGAATGAAAGTTTATGTTTTTCATATCCTCCCCAACACTTGGTATATTCAGTTATTTATTTTAGTCATTTTAATACGTGCGAAGTGATATCTCACTTTTAGTTTGAATTCTCTAGTGACAAATGATGTTGAACATCTTTATTTGGTTATCTGCCATCTGTAAATCTTCTTTGGTTAGCTGTCTGTTCAAGTATTTTGCCTGCTTTTTAAGTGGGCCATTTGCTTTCTCATTGTTGAGTTATAAAAGTTTTTTCTGTGTTTTGGATACAAATCCTTTATCAGCTAACATGTTTCCCAAATATTTTCTTCCTTTCTGTAGCTTGTCTCTTTATCTTTTAATAGTGTCCTACGCAAAGCAGAAGTCTATAATTTTAATAAAGTTGAACTTACCAATTTTTCTTTCAAGGACTTTTTTTGATATTGTATCTAAAAACTCTTCACCAAACTAATACAATACAGATTTTCTTCTATGCTTTCTTCTATAAGTTTTATATTTCATATTTGGTTTTAAGATACATTTTGAGTTGATTTTTGTGAAAGATGTAAGGTCTGTGTCTAGGTGTCTACGTTTTTTTTTTTTTTTTTTAATTTGTTGATATTCACTTGTTCCTGTATCATTTGTTGAAAAAAACATTTTCCATTGAATTGTCTTTGCTCCTTTGTCAGTAATCAGTTGACTATGTTTCTGAGGGTCAGTTTCTGGGCTTTGTATTTTGTTCCATTGATCTGTGTCTTTTTTTTTTTCGCAAATACAATGCTGTATTGATTGTAGCTTTATAAGAAGTCTTGAAATTATATATTATGAGTCTTCTAACATTGTTTTTCTTCTCAGTATTGTGTTGTCTGTTCTGGATCTTTTGCCTTTCCATGTGTACTTTAGAAAATGTTTGTCAATATCTAAAAATGTATCACTTGCTGAGATTTTGATTGGGATTGCATTGAATCTGTAGATTAGTTGGGAAGAACTGGCATCTTAACAATATTATGACCATGAACATGGATGTTACTCCCTTGAGTTCTTCCATCAGAGTTTTGTAGTTTTCTACAAAGGAATGCTGTACATGTTTTATTAAATTTGTACCAAAACATGCAATTTTTTTGTGGCTTCAGTAAATGTTTTTGTGTTCTTAATCTAAATTCCAACTGTTTATTGCTGGTATGTAGGAAAGCATTTGACTAGTAACCTTTTACTCCTTGTTTTACTAGCTTATTAAGTATAGGAGTAGGTGTGGGGTTTGGGGGGTTTTTTGGACTATTTGGGGGGATATTTTTACGTAGTCAATGATGTCACCTGTGAACAAAGAAGTTTTACTTTTTTCTTCAAAATCTGTGTAAGTTTTATTTACTTTTCTTGTCCTATTGATGTAGGTGGGACTTACAGTATGGTGTTGAATAGTAGTTGTGAGAGTAGACATCCTTGCCTTGTTCCCAATCTTAAGGGGAACGCATTCAGTTTCTCACAATTCAGTATGTTGTAGGTTTGCTGTACATGTTCCGTTTTCTCTTGAGACAGCCTCACTCTATCGCCCAGGCTGGAGTGCATCTAGGTGTCGCCATCTAGGCTCACTGCAACCTCTGCCTCCCAGGTTCAAGTAATTCTCATGCCTCAGCCTTAGTCGCTGGGATTACAGGCATATTCCACCATGCCTGGCTAATTTTTGTCTTTTTTCAGTAGAGACGGGGTTTCACCATGTTGGTCATGCTGGTCTGGAACTCCTGATCTCAAGTGATCCACCCACCTTGGGCTGACAAAGTGCTGGGATTACAGGTGTGAGCCACCACTCCTGCCCGATGTTCTTTTTCAACTTGCGGAAATTTTCTGAAAGTTGTTATAAATGAGTGTTGCCGTTGGCCGCATCCTTTTTCTGCTCTATTTATATGATCACATTATTTTTCTACTTTAGCCTTGTTGATGTGGTAGACTACATTGATTTTCTAATATTAAATCAACCTTATGTACCTGGAATAAATCCTACTTGGTTATGGTGTATAATTCTTTTAACACATTATAGAATGGAGTTTACTAATATTTTTAAGAATTTTTGTACCTGTGTTCACGAGAGCTGCTGATTTCTAGTTCTTCACTTTAGACTCTCTTTTTCCATATTGGTTATGGGGAGGCCTTGTTCTTGTTCCCCCTCAGACCATATGTCTCATCCTAAGCAGGTCACTGAGCAGTTGGGCTGGCCCCATCTCTGGCCAGTTGTAGCCTCTGAGGGTGAGTAAGTATTTTTGAGGGATACTTCCTTTGTCAGGTCCCAACCAGTGCTCAAGAACAGGCTGGGAACAGTCACCACTGGCCTCCCTGGCTGGCCCAGACTGGTCCCAGCCTCTGACGAGTAATGTAGAAATACTTTTAAGGAGGCACTTCCAGTGACCAGCCCCACAGATTGAGTTAGGAAGTGTTCCCTCTGCTTTTATTTTTTGGACAAGATTATAGAGAACTGGTATCATTTCATTCTTTAATATTTGATAGAATTGATTGAAACCGTATGGAGTTGATGCTTTCTTTTTTGGAAGGTTATTAACTATTGATTAAATTTATTTAATAGACATAAGCCCATTCAGATTATTTAATTCTTTTTGTGTTGGTCATTATGAATCAGAATCAGTCACATTCATGTAAGTTAAAAAATGTGTGAGCTTGGAGTTGTTCATAGTATTTCTTCATTATTCTTTTTTTTTTTTTTTTTTTGAGACAGAGTCTGTCGCCCAGGCTGGAGTACAGTGGTGTAATCCTGGTTCACTGCAACCTCAGCCTCTTGGGTTCAAGTGATTCTCATTCCTCAGCCTCCCAAGTAGCTGGGACTATAGGCACACGCCACTGTGCCCAGCTAATTTTTGTATTTTTAGTAGAGATGGGGTTTTGCCATGTTGACCAGGCTGGTCTTGAACTCTTGACCTCAGGTCATCTACCTGCCTTGGCCTCCCAAAGTGCTGAGATTATAGGCCTGAGCCATCACACCTGGCCGAAACCCTCTTCATTTCTGATACTGGTGTCTGGGCTTTTTTTTTTTTTTTCCTCTTATTTAGCCTGTCTAGAGGTTTATCAATTTTATCAGTCTTTTCAAAGTCCAGCTTTGAGTTTTGATAATTTGCTATTTTTGGAAAATGAGTCTTTAACTGCGTATTTGCTATCCCAGACACACTGAAGGAGGAGGAAGCTGGTCTGTAGGCAGCCAGCCCTGCCAGCTACAGTTCTCGCTGGAGGGCCTTGTCCAGATGAGGTGCATCATACTGTGTCTGTATTCTCTGGGGTAGCCACACTTTTCTGTCCTTATATTTTCTCGGGTTTTTGCTTCTGTGGAGCCATCGTTGATAGAAACACCTCCTTCGTTGCTGACTTGAAGTCTCATGATTTACATTAGAAATACATGAATGTGTTGAATTCTACCTCAGAAAATGCCTGTGTTTACTTAACTTAATGTTGTTTTATTACCATGTAGTTGATACATTATTCAGGAAAGTACATTTTATTCTTCTCTCTCTGATGGAATTGTAGCATATATTTTGGCCTCTGACTTTGCTCACAGCTGTTCTGGGACAGTTTTAAAATCTCTAAGCCTCAGTTTCCTTGTCCTGATATAAGCAAGAAAAGGCACACTTCATAGTGTGGGAGTGGAGTCTGGGTGTAATCCTGGCATGGCATCATATAGAAGTCTTGGGTGCATGTGGCTTCTCCAAATATCACAGTTTCCTACTCTGTGTACTGACCAGAGATTGACTCCAGACTTCTATATTGTTGCTAGACGAACTGCCTAAATGACTTAATTTCCTTTTGTAGATACCTGTTTCATGTTTGCTTTAGTTCTTTGCTCCTTATTCCTTTTTACAAAAATATAGAACTTTGATTTTGTTTCTGAGGTATAAATATATGTGAATAACAGAATGTTAGAGACTATGACAGATATGGCTAATTTGACCCTCTTGGTTACAGGGGAAGGGGAGGAGTTACAACACGGCCAGTTGGAGTTGTAGTACCACGAGGGACGCCAACTCCCAGAGGAGTCCTGTCCACCCGAGGGCCAGTGAGTCGGGGAAGAGGACTTCTCACTCCCAGAGCAAGAGGAGTCCCCCCAACTGGGTACAGACCTCCACCGCCACCCCCAACACAAGAGACTTATGGAGAATATGTAAGTGAAGGTGTCAGACAACACCTTGTTGATCAGATTGACTTAATCCAGACTTAGCACTGGATATTGTACCCACATACCCTCCCTCACTTTGTTTTGGTTCTTGAGTATTATACTTTGGTTCAGTAAATATTTATTGAGTGCTAAAGAAGTGCTTAATACTAGAGGTATAAAAATGGCCTGATCTTTTTCATCAAGTAGTTTAAGGTATGGAAGAGGAATTTGGGTGGTGGGGAGGTGTAAGACTAAGGTTCAGGAGACGTATTTTCAAGCCCTTATAAGAGTTTAATGTAACATTCTTCCATATTTCACTCCTGAATCCTTCAGTCATTTAAAAAATAATTGCCTGTGTATACCAAGATGGTTTCACCCTCAACTGTTTCCTTTTAAGCTACGCTACTGAGTATGGATTCTTAGTGGAAATTCTTTTCAGTGAAGAAAACAAAAGTTCTCTATTTTCAATTAGTGCAAATCAGCTTTTCATTTATCATTCAGTGATTCTTTGATATAATTCATAGACTGACTTAACATAAGAGAGAATTATAACCGCAAAAGTTGAGGGGGAACGGAATTCTTTGGTGTCCTCATTTACCGTAAATGAAGAAAATAAGAAGCAATGGATAGGTGATTCATATTAATAATTAAAATTGTTAAAGTAAGAGTATATGAACTGTTGTCAATGAAAGGGACGCAGTAACAATGATCAAATGCAAGAACCAGTAGGTTTTCATGTTTTACTTTAGGAGAGATCTCTTGCTAGGTGCTCTGTGCCTCTTTGGATAGTTTCTAGAAGGTTACAGTAATCCCCTGGGCCTCAGACAACCTCTTCAACCTCATCTGTGTGGCCACTGGTAAGATCAAAGTCTTTGTCTTGGACATGTTTAAGGTTTTGTAATTCCCTGAACATTCTGTGTCATCTTAGTCTTCCAGACCTTTGCTCATACGGCCTCCTCAGCCTAGAGTGATCTTCTCATATTTCATTTGACTCTCTCCTTGTGTCCTTCTAGACTTAGGTCAACCATTGCTAGGGAAATTTAGAGGTGGTAATAGCCAACTTATTGAGCATTACTACAGTTCTTACATTTCTTTCTCCCACCTAGCTCGTGAACCTCTGGAAGGGCAGGAATGAATAGCTTTTATCTCTTTATACTTGGGAGAGAGTGCATACTGGGAACTCACTGAATTATATTTTAACAAATCCCATAAAAGTTTTACAAGTTTGTTATTCAGTCGAGGAAGGATGTGGTTTCTCTCTTTTCTTTGATTTCCTTATAGTTAGAAGTGTTCCTACTTCCTAATATTCTCACCAGTTGACAATAATAATTATGCCTCAGCTCTTCCATAAATGCTGAGTCTCCTGAAAGTAGCAGAGACTATAAAGGAGAGGAAATCTTAAATTCCTTTTAGGTAGGCCTAGTGTCTGTTCGTTTCCACTTTGGCTTACATTGATTTCTCTTAGGTTTAGATTTAATACAGATGTGGTTGGATGATGTAGAAGAGATTGCCAGGCAGGTTGTGTGGGAAACCTGGATCCTATACCCCATTTTACCATAAATTTCAATATCAGGTAGGCAAGATATTTAACTTTTTGGGCTTCATCATCTACTTATTTCAGAAAGAATGATTGCCTCCATTACATGTATTCATCTTTCTATTCAATAAAGATTGGATTTCTACCATGTGAGCCAGACACACATGTTGTCTGCCTCAGCGTGTATACTGTAATTATTAGAGTCTGGAGATAAGTTATATAGATTGATAAAACTAAAAAATTCTTGAAAGGTAAAAGTCCGAAGGAGGAAAAGTAAAAGCAAGAGACATTCAAGACATTTGGGTTTGCTGCTTGTACTTTCGATTTTTTAATTTTTATTTATTTTTTATTTTTATTTTTTGTAAATGATAGGAAAGGCATTAAAACAATTGAATTGAGAAGTATTCTGTAGGATTAATTTACTCCCTTTCCATCTGCTACCAAGGATAATGGGATAGTGGCCCTGTAGAAGATTATCTATGTCTTTCCAGACCAGACAAAGGTTTAAGAGCTCTAAAGGAAAAAGTCAACCTTCATTGTTTGATTCCCACACTCACTGATGCCTGGCACTCTTCCAAGCACTGACTGTTACTGCAGCTGTGATTTCAACACAGAGCCGGTGCTCCTTCTGTCACATGGTACTATAGACTTCAAATAACTGATGGCCACATCCACAAGTGTTCTAATTTGGCCGGAATGCAGCATTTGCAATTTTATCAACTTCATACAATAACAAGTCTTGCATACATAAAACAGCTCTGTGCTTTCCAGGTGTGCTTTGGGTGGTGTAGTGGGACACCAAAGAAAAAGAAATACCATCATGAGTGCACCTCCTTCCCCGAGTTGAATTACCGTCCTGAGGGGTTCAGATTACAAATGTTATAGCTTTCCCACTTAATTTAGCATCTATTATTCCTGGCATTGCCTTTTAAGATCACTAGTCAAGAGGAAAGATTTTCCTCATTTAGCCTAGCATTTTGTAAGCTGCCTTGGCACAGTTATAGTGAAGCTTCAGTGGCTTTTTCAGTATAGTAAAAGCTTCACTGTATATAACAAACTTTGCTGGTACTTGGTATAAGGAGTAGATAAAGCCCTTCAGCTCGCTTACAGTGGCTTACCGTCAGTAGCACTGCCTCCCAGGTATACCCTTTTGACCTCATCTTCCTCCACTGACCCAGTTTTAAATGAGTTTTGTAGTTCCAACTTTTCTAATGCAGCTTACAGCCTCTAGCATAACTTCAGACATTGGCCATTGGTCTCAACTGAAATCCTAAAGATTACTCACCCATCCCGCTTAGTTTTACAACATGGTAGGGGGAGTGGGAAGTAAACTCTTCTTAAAAAGTTTTTTTTATGTTGGGCTCGGTGCGATGGCTCACGCTTGTAATCCTAGCACTTTCGGAGGCCAAGGTGGGCACATAACTTGAGGTCAGGAGTTCAAGACCAGTGTGGCCAACATAGTGAAACCTCATCTCTACAAAAGAAAAAAAAAAGAAAAATTAGCCAGGTGTAGTGGTGCACACCTGTAATCCCACCTACTTGGGAGGCTGAGGTGGGAGAATCGCTTGAACCCAAGAGGTGGAGGTTGCAGTGAGTTGTGATCACCCCACTGCACCCAAGCCTGGGTAAAAAAAAAACTCTGTCAAAAAAAAAAAAAAAAAATTTGTTTCTTTGTTTCTAGGATTTTAGATAGGGTGGGTATATTATAAGATACCCAACTTAGAAAACCAAGAAACTGTAACACAAATAAATGGTTATTCATTCTTGTATCAAATGGGAAAGTTGACCATCTTTGAGTATACTAAAATTATTACATGGAACTAGAACATCATAAATTAGATTCTAAATTCCATGAGGGTAGGCACTCTCCACCTTCCTCCCCTACCTTCCAACCACCACACTTCACCTTTTTATTCCCAATAACTAGTATATGATGTCTGGCACATAGTAGGTCTTTAGTAAGTATTTACTGAATGAATGAATAGTCCCAAGACAGTTTTTAAAAATTGTCTCCTGTGGAGAACCCACCACAGATGCGTTCTGTGTGACTTTTCAGTTTTATTCACATAGCAATTTATATGTAACATAGTATTTAGCATATCGCTATGTAGCACAGTCATTCAGAATATGTCTAGTTTTCAAAAGATTATTAACTTCTAAGGAAAAATTCTGTATCTCTAGGTTAATCTCTGGCTCAGTTTTTGGCACATTGTAAGCACTTAGTAAATGTTTGTTGGACTGAACAACCCTATACAGAGAGACTTGATACATTGTTCAGATGAAGATTACCATTGATTTTTTTCCAAGTTACTAGTAAAAGCATGTGATGGGAAGAAATATGATAGTATTTGAAAAAATAACTTTCCTAAGTTACTGTTGTCTTCTAGCGCTGGACAGGTAGTCATAGGTTACAAATGAATGAGATTAATTTTGTTAGCTCCTAAAGGAAACAGAAAAACCTACTGTAAGTCTCATCACAGTATAAAAAGGGGCTTTCAAGAAGAATGTAATATTTGATGAGAAACTGCTCTCCGCAAGGCACTTTGATATACGTCACGTTTTCCTTAGAACCACCTACTGTGATCTCTATTGTACAAATGAGAATTTAAGGTCAGGGAAGTTAAGTGCCTTGCCCAAAGTCACAGGACTGGTAAAGAAGGAGCAGATTCAGGATTCCAAGTTCAACGCCTATGTTCTGTCTTGAAAAACCAGTACTTTAAAAAACAAAACCAAAAAATCAGTGTTCCCACTAGCCAAGATTATAAATAAAATATCTTCATCTTTGGAGAAAGTGTAACAGATGCTGTGTGTTCCCTTCATCAATGCCAGCAAATGCCATGAAAGGGATTATAGGACACTGAACGAAATAACCTCTGTGTTTCTTGTGATTCAGTAATTCCCTGGTTTTAAGCTACCCAAAGTAGGTAAATGGAAATGAACTGTTAGGAAGAAAGGGATGATGTTCGGATTAAAAAGAAATGAACATGTGAACAAAGCACTGCTAATACATTTATTGGCAAAAATAAGAATAACACTTTCATTTAAGAATTTCACAACATCTATATCTCTGAAAAGGGCTTGTCATTTCTTTGGAACTCAGAAACGTAATTTTTAAAAATCTCCTTGGAATGTATCCAGTGATAAAGGTTTGATTTCTATACAATGTGTTTGGCTATATCAAACCAACTCAGTTTACTTTTCATCAACTTTCATTTAAAATTTACTATCCGAGGCCATTATTTCCAGAATAAAAGATGAAAAAAGATCACAACAGTGGTTTACTTAAACAAAATGAGGAATATTCTATTTTTTTAAATCCTGCCACAATAGCTGCATTTTTCAGAAAGTATGCATTTCAGTCTTTAAGATACTCAGTGATTTTCAGATTATGTGTACTGCAAGTATTCTGATACAGTTTTAGGCCCAGGAAAAACTTAGCCGTATCTGTTCTAATTATTTTTAGTTATAT